ATCGCTGTTATTTTACATACAATTTTGCACTCCCCGAACATTCCGTGGCGTCATTATTAAAATCAACGTACAATACATTCAAAATATTACTTTTATTTCAATTTAAAACAAATCAACCACTGCAATATTCCTCCAGCAAACATATTGTTTAAAAATCCGACCATTCTTAACTTTAACCAATCTTAAAGTTCGTTAATAATTAATGCATAATCAGAGATGATTAAAAAAATACATAGAATACACAATTAAAATTCTTATGAGGTAATCAGTCATAAGGTTAAGCCAGTTAAAATAATATAAGTAAAATTAATAAGTGAAGTTTCCGATTCTGTCGAAAAGAAGAAGTAGCGTATAAGAAGGACGCCTATTCATATACATTGAGTTATCTGTGCCTATTCTGTGGTTTTAAAATAGATATATAAATGTAACAAGTACAAATTTCCTGTACAGTTCTATATCCGTTTCCAAGTATTACTTGATAAGATACATATAAAAAAATACAAAACATATTTACAGAAAACGGTTCGTATTACCGTTCGACAAACAATTCTTTGAGCATCAATGTATTATCATTAAAAATGAGAGAACCGTTATACTGACATAAGCAAAACATGCAAAAGGTTAAGCATGAATGCATATTTCTCTGGAAATATATATATACCCCGTCATTATGATGAAGTATCGCTGGAGCATGCTGATCAAACTTTTTTATGTAACTGGAAAGGCAAATAAGGTAACGGTCTATCTGGTGGTAAGTCACGTTTATTATGCAAATACACCCGTAGTATCTACCCCTCATGGACTGTCATACAAGAGTACTGAGATACTTTCATAACCTACACTGTCATATCTCAAACTCAAATTAAAACAGTTTTTTAAGAAACTACTGTGGCCAGATGACGTTACACCAAATCTAGCTCAGGCTTAGAAATATTTAATTGTAACAATTAATAATATAATTAGAAAATTCAATACGTTTTTTTTAACATCTGAATAAGCAAAACCAAATTATTGAATGTTACCGCTTATTAGCAGAATAAATATATACATACGTATAATATTTATATTATACTGAATCCAAATTTAAAATAAAAAGTACGTCATTTTCACTTTTTTAAGCACTCTTTGTATTCATGTGCAGAAAAACCCTATAAAAATTATTAATCGTACAAATTGTAATATGTAGATATAAACATTTAACTTTATTAAATTTTTGGACACTCCTCGCTGAATCATAACGATGCTGGGCGACTTTAGAGGTAAAAAAGACAAAAAGTTTAGAAGTCCTAACTTAAAATATTAATACATTTGCTTTTAAAAGGAGCCCTTGTTTTATTATGCTGATATAAATCCACTTAAGACGAAGATAAAGCAAAATCGAATTATGTGTTTCATTTGAGGCACCTAAATTTATATCAAGAAAGTTCGAAACATTAAAGGATACATTATAATTAAATATGTGTGTTTTTAATTAACGACGTCATTAAAAAAGTTTGTGGTAGTATGTAATTCGTCTAGATAGACGCATACAGAGGCCAATATGTAAACTTTATGATAGTGCCTTACTAACAATTCCAAAGCTTTCGGAAGAATCTTAATAATGTGTTACAGCGATAAAGCATAATCGATAAGAACATACTAGTAATATTGACTCTATTATTCTTTGATGATTTCTAAAAAGAAGCAGCAAAGTGTATTTTTATGATCTGAATCCAAGATTACTGATGTTATATGCATATTGTGTATATATATTTTTAATAATATACAAATTGTTATGGTGGAATAGAAGCAACGATTGATGGTCGTTTTGTTTTCTACAAAGTGTCTACTAGACTCAAAAAGTTAGTGATTACAATAACCAATAGCAGGTAATATTTCCAGAGACAAAATTTATTACAATTTTGAATAAAAATACCAAAACTGTACTGCGGAATAGAATTTTTTACAAAAAATCGATTTAACAGTGTCGAAATATTTATCTGATATATTCCAGAAAATGGAAACAGAGCCTCTATTCACTTATTACGATAAAGCAATGCATTCCATCCACTGCTTAAACTTTTTCAACCAATTTGCAAGGAGCTTAAGAATTTTGGGTCAGAAGTATACTACATAAGCAAAAAAATTTAATCTTTCCGTTATTACATTTCCTTCGTAAACATTCAAGTGGTTCTCTCAGTAAATTCACTACATGCTTCAGTGATTTTTTTCATAATACCATCCCTTTGAATATTTTTTCTTGTAATATGTATAGCAATGTTTTAAATATACATTTTATATTTTTCATTCGTTTATAAAACGACCGTTATGTACCTGTAAACTCCCGCGGTCTTATTACAAAAAATCTGTTAAAACTGTGGTCTAAATGGTCGTGGTTTAAACCATTCCTAAAGTTAATACTTGGAATAAACCTAACATTATTACGAATCCAGATCTAACAGAGGACTACTTAGTACTACAGTTAAATCGTTCATTATGTATTCCATACAGAAATCAGTCACTCATGTACAATTACGTTCCATTTTACCAGAAAACTGAAAAGATCAAAAATAATATTAGTTCAAAGAAAAATATAAACTAAAAATAAATTTATTTCTATTTATCTATGTCTTCATATAACTATTTATAACTATTTCATTAATATATAATATTTATTAATGTACTATTAGGCTGAAAATCAGTTTTAAATTACAAGTAGGAGTCCTATACGGAAAAGGAACGGCGAGATATTTTTATTGGATCGTTCGAATGGTGACTATTTCAAAGTCAAATGAGTGAAAAAATAACAAATAACGTCTTTTATATATTTTTATTGTCGTAAAATTTGCTTTAAATATTTTTAGTTAATATATTTTTAATTTAGTTAAACTATTTTTCCAAAAACTACAACTTACAATAATTTTTAAAATGGAGTTTGTATTTTTGCATTTAGACCACTGTTAAACTAGGGGCATCGCAGGTCTAACTTTAGACCATAGACGAATCACGATTTAGAGATAAACTTCATTTTGTAATAAGGAATACATTGGTGAATGGTTTATTACTAGTGCTAAACCAGGTTTATCTTTTTGTAATAAGGCCGCCGATGTTCGTGGGTTTAATTCCTCACGATACAAATACATTCATGTTTACGGTTGATTGTTTTTGTTTACATTATGTTTGTAAAATATACAATGCACAGCCCTATCGAAAAATGCTGAAGAACAGAACTTGGACTTGTCGGAAAATGAACGAGACGGCAATGCCCCAATTTCAATATTGTACACTTTTAATTGGAATATTATTAATTTCATAATAAATCTGTAAACCGCTGACTATGTTCTTATGGCAACTGTGGTTTACAACTTGTGGTCGTTACGAGTTCTGAGATACATTCGTTAAAACGTCGTACGATGTTATACCTATTTTAGTTCTCGCTTTAGTTACTAAGAACGTCTGTAGATTTTTATATAAAAATAAATTTAAATTTAAACAATTTTATCTGCTGGATGAACCGCTGGATACGACTACCTAAATTATTATATAGTATATTAGTTTTTATTAAAATAATATTATTTACGTGTCCTAGTTATTTAGTTATTAATTAATATAGTACCTTTATTTGTGTATGTATATCTGTATCTGACACCAGGTGCATGCAAACCGATTTACAATTTGTAGGAATATAACTCGCACAGATGGAGTAGCGAGAAATATTTTATAAACAATACAAATAATACATAAAGTTAGTATACAAATACATAAAGATAGTATAGAAATATTACATATGACTCATATATACTCATTTACAATATTAAGTAGGCAAATATATTTGGTAGCTTGGGATTCGCGCCCGAGGGCTCTACAGAGCAACCGCAACTCGTATCTTATACGGAATTCAACAAAAAAAAGAAATTAAACATGTCTTGGGGAATTCACAATTTAAATACCTATTGTTTCATAAGATTTTTAATTCAGACGACGACAGAATGATGTTAAAGGGACAAAGAACAAGGGGTATTAGTATTTTAAAGAGACTTTTTTCATTAAACATTAAAATTTTCTATGTTACAATAACGTTTGTTATATCAAATCTAGATTTTTGTTACATGATCAATAAATTTTAATTAAAATAGTCGAAATTGATGTACCCAATACTGACATTTTAATCATTATCCCGAGTTCTCATAGCTTGATTATTTTTAATAAACAATCGTATTATACGTTATAAGGCCCCGAAATTACGTGTAATGTTACATTTAGTATGTACAGCCTAATTTTTCAATTGATGAGGATTCGATTTCCTTCACAATACGAACATTTCTTTTCCTAGGATAACAATTCAAAATTTATAAACTATTGTATATAATTCGTATATATGTATTTACCATAAATAATGTATTTTAGTATTTCTAACAGTTATGACAAACCCATCCATGTAAGAAACTATGCTCAATTTAAATCTAAATAGTGCTCTGGGTATATTTATTATTATTCAATTTAAAATGTACTAATTATTCAATCTACATTACTAATTAAGTTATCTCTGAACATATAAATCAGAGCCAAATTACAATGAGTCAGTGCAACGGCTGATAGCATCTGGCCGTCCTTCTAACGCCAATTAGATAAATTTACAAATCGACTTATGGCAAGTTACTAAAGAGCAAACCAAATAAACTTAACCCGGCGTAGGTTTACGGCGCCATTTATGAATGACTTGGCGTGTCATAGATATAATCCACAAACCAATGAATGAAATAACTATTGTATTAGTATTATCTATATAGCGTAGTATCTGTAAAGATTAGTACTTAATTACAATTGGTATTAGTTTGCGTATGTACAAAATAGTTTTCGTAGCGATTTAACCTCAACCTATGGAGGAAAAGTATAATTTTAATGATGGGCTTAGTGTAACATGATAAATTTTCCTAAGTTTTCCTTAATTCCCAAAAAATAAATATGTATATGATTTCAGTGCGAGGTCATTGAATCAGCGCGTGGATGCGCGGAGATGCGCGCGCGCAAGGACACAGGATATTTTCCTATAAAATGTGGGGCGACACCTTGCGGCTACAGTATCGAAAGAGGCACCACCACGGAAGGACATCACGATGAGACTGGTGAGTCCTTGACTTTGAATTTTTGTGCAAGTGAAAAAGTGATAATAAATTCTGTTTCAGTATGTCTCAAATACAGTGATAACAAAAATGTGAAAATAAATTGTTGTATATTTTGAACAATTATATAGTTATATTAGTAATTTAAGACCTTATTTTAACTAAAAGTATAACTCATCTACCATATATATATTTCAAGCGTCTGTCTGTATGTTCATGACAGTCTCAAAAATTGCTGAAAGAATTTTCATGCGCTTTTCATCGATTATCAGAGTCTCTATCTCTGGTGAGGCTTTACGTGTATAATTACGTAAAGTTTTTGTGAATTTTATTAATTAAAGGATCGTTTCAATAATACATCCATATTTATAACATTTAGTGATTTCAATTGTTCTGACTTCTTTTTGTTAATTTGTAATTGTCAGATTTATTCAAATTGCAAAATGTGAGAAAGAAAAGCATCTAAGTATTTTTTTTTCCAATTAGAATACAATGTAAAAGAAGATAATAATTGTATTTACCTCATCATTGTACAGAATAAAATACATTATATGCAAATTATAAAAAGCTTTTTATATTAATTCAAATTTTTTCCTAAATTATTTACATAAACATAAACCCTTAAAAATATAGAGAAATCCTGAGAAAGGATCAAATAATTTGATTCTAGATAGACTATATGGATCTATATGTGATTTGTATGAACATGTGTACAACATACGATATAACGTCTGAAAAGAACCGAAATCGATGACATGCCATCCGAGATGTTTTACACATCGATACAATCGATTTTATTGCACTATGCACTACTGATGATTTTGATGCCACGATTAGTGAATAAATAAATATATAAATTTAAATTTACTATTTAAATTTTAATTATACTAAATAAGATGTCTTATCATTACAGCTTTGCATTTTCGCTGCCATTCTGGCATTTTCCTTGGGCGAAGAATCTGATAAAAATAAGTCACAATTAGAAGACTTAGAAGCAGTGGCCACAGTAGAACTTTTAAAAGAAAATCATGATGTACTCCAGCCGGCAGAAAGTAGTTATAGTACCCCTAACCAGCAAAAATGGACGAACTTGAAGACCACTAATCCTAACTATTATCCCCAGAACAACTATGTTTCACAAAGTAACTACAATCCTACTCCTAATAACTACGTCCCTCCTCAAAATCATTTCGTCCCGGCTCATAATAATTACGCGCCTCCACAGAATAACTACTTCCCACCTCAGAACGACTACATATCTCCAACAAATAATTATGTCCCATCCAAAAATACATATGCACCTCCTCAAAATACTGTCCCGCCCCCACAAAATACCTACTTTCCTCCTCAGAATACATATGTCCCTCCTCAGAATAACTACATCCCTCCTCAGAATAACTACATTCCTCCCCAGAATAACTACATTCCGCCTCAGAATAACTACGTACCCCCTCAAAATAACTATGTTCCTCCACAAAATGATTATGTTCCGCCCAATAACAACTGGAATTATCCTCAACAACAAACTTCTACAACTACTCCTAGTTCGCTAATCAAAAACGAAATTACATACGGTGACAATGGCAGTTATAAATACGAGTAAGTAAACGTGATCTAATTATGACTCTACAATTTTGGCTTGTATAATCTATTATAGTATTTATTTTTATTAACGTTAGATATTTCATTTATAATATATTTAATTAAGGTAAACACACACACTATGTGCAACATATCACTGTGTAATTATACACACGTCACAGAATAACGTGATAAATGCTGTTGACGTATATAAACAAAGGATACCAGGATAAGTTTTCGTTTGTACCAATTATATAAAAAAATATTTAAACAGTCTAGTGTAATATAACATAAATTATAATAGAATCTTTTTAAACTTATATTACAAATTCAAATAAGTACATAATGAAAAACTAATAATTTGTTTTCTTTAAAAATTTTGTCCTGATTGTGATAGCCAAAACTACTAAGTTTATAAAACTAAAATATAGAATATAGATGATTATACTATAATGTAAACCTCCAAAGATAAATTAATTTAGAAAATTTCAAAAATAATCGCGAGATCATCCTCTGGTAACAGTTAGTCCACAGTATCGTTTCCGACACATGTCAATAGTCAACACATGTGACAAGACTAGAAACTAAAGTCAAAGTAACAAATATTTAAAATCAAGTGGCACTCTGTGTGGCATTTTATGTCAATTGTTATATGAAAATATTAGACATCAAATAACGTAGTAAAAACAAATGAGGCTCTAACGGTCATAGCATTGTACCCGTTGAATATTATGTGACATCAAAACGAGTTATTTTTATTGTAAAATATACTTAACGGTAAAGATTAAAATAGTTTAATTTTATTTTTAAAAATATTCGATAGAACCAACTAACTAAATAGCGTTTTTACTTAAAACTTACAACGTCACTTCACCTTCAATATTATTATGGGTAAAGTGTAATCACAAGTTATATTTTTTATATGTAACTATTTTTAAGTCACTGACTCGATGATACTCAGAAAAATCTGAGCTTATTTTATTGTGCTTGAATATAGACATATGACACGAAGAAAGACACATCATCAAGAGTAACATTAACGCTATTAATATAACGCTGAAATATAATATAATTCACATGTTTATATGTTTGGGTGTAATGGATTTTTTGTTGCTAACAAAAAATCCACGATACCAATTAAACAGTTCGATTCATTTTATCAAATATTATTTCATTCGATCTACAGCTGCGGGTAATATTCTGCCTGAGTTCATAAAATGCGTGTCAGAATCGTTAAAATAAAAATTATTGCCCTAAAACTTGTTTGACTTTAAAAATTTAACGGTTGAGTTCTTGTGACTTTATCACATCCACTTGCCATAAGTTGAATCTTTAAGAAGATCGATGTGAACATTGAAATTTATGCATATGAAGTAGCATATTATGCTAAATAACGAACTTACAACAATATTTAAACTGATAACAATTTATTCACTACCATCTGTCTATTTATTTATTTATTATATTCTTTATTGTACAACAAATTTAGTACAAAAATCAAGCCTATACCTATCATTTTTTTTCTTTTGGTAACAGAATTCTGTTTGAATTTTTATTCAAAACATGACATTAGATTTTTTCCGACAATTATAAAGTTATTCTTTAAATCCAAAGGTACGAAGTTGCAGACGGGACCTACGCATCAGAACAGGGATACTCCATTAACCCAAATACAGAGAATGAGAGCATTGTGAAGATTGGCAAGTACAGTTATACTGGACCTGATGGAAAAGTCTACACGGTCACATATTGGGCCGACCATACTGGATTCCACGCAACCGGTGACCATATACCTACACCACCACCTATCCCGCCCGCGATTCAAGCGTGAGTATTTTGTTGGAATATTTCGTCAACGGTCTTTATTTATATATGTATTTTGAGGCGATTTTCAATCGAAATTGCTTCAGTCTCTGAGTTCTATACTAATTTTGTATTATTTAGAGTATTATAGTACTTTTTTAGTTAAAACAATACTAAATTATATTGTGTTCTGATTTGTCAAGTTCACGTGACCCAGACCTATTACCAAGGGATAAGTTCCACTTGTATCTTCATCAAATATCTCATTTTTGTGGAAAATATGTTGTAGGCAGTGGTTTATTATTATTTTCCTTATATTTTCTGAAATAGGAGGGCGTGTTTGTAAGTTATGGACCAAAGTTGTTTGTAATGTTACCCGAGACAAATGGCGACAGTGGTCGTGATGGAATAATAAAAGTAATGTTTCATACCTATTATGTTGGTACAGAGTAATGTACATTTATCAAATATTGTATAAATAATTATTAAGAAATTACATTTATATATTTTTTTATGTACTATATAAGTAGTACATTGGCGTTTTAAATAATCCGCTACACTAAATCTTTATTGAATCACCTTGGAGAAAAATCTCTCACTCCCAGTAATAAAGATAAGGTAAAAAATAATAATAATATACATAAGCCAATTAATATGACAAGTAGCCATCAGCCTACTTTTCTATGTTTGTATTCATAGAAAAATAGAAGAGAATTGTTTGGTTTTAAATTTAACATTCACAGAAAACGATTCATATATACAATTTTTTTTTCAAAATATATACAATTGAAGCATATATCGTTTTGTGAGTTATCCTATGTCAATATCTAATTGAAATAGTACCTATTATAAAAACATATTCTAATCACTTGAAACGGTCAGCACGCCTATTTGTAGTTCATGTATAATTAGCATATACTGAATTGATTGTAGGTTGAGAAGGTCATAATCGTAAAAAATATTGTTACCTGAATCATCATGTAATTTTAATTTTATTATCATGTTCCAAATAATATTTAATATCATGTTATTTGGAACCTCCTTATATTCTAATCCATGAATTCTAGAAATTCTGTTTTAGTAGATAATTCATTAAAGGAACAATATTCTAGAATGACTAGTTTAGCACTAAATAAATTGTCGGTCAGTATGTCAAGTCTCTTTATATTTGCATTAATGTACAGAAGAATATTTTAGATCTACATTAAAAAAAGAGCTATTATTAAGAAAAACAAATTCAGTAAATCCTCTTACATTGTATTAGGATGCAGGTATCCATGGTATTATGAACTTATGAGTAATTGTTCACGCACGGTATTTTTAATATATTCAATAGGCTAGACAGATACACTCGGTAAATATTATGTTAAGCAACTAATTTAAAAATATTGACTCTCGGTAAATAACCTGGGTACATCTCATCTGTCCAAGCTCTGAAAGTTTTAAATCTATTAAATATGTCTTGAATAGGATAGTAGATACATGTATGTATATTTAATATAAAAACTTTTTGTTCACACACACTGACAGTATCAAATCAAATTATAGTCATCTTGGATAATCATGGCAATTGTTCATTTTCTATATTCTTCTGTATTGAATTAAGAAATTGTTTTGTTACTTTCATTCTTTTTAATCTTACTATAATAAGCAACGAAATGATTTATCTTTTCATATATCTAGAAAAAAACTTTACTGTACATACATTGTAGTACCTACTTGTATCCGTCAGATTTTATGAAAGCTTGTCTTATCTAAGTCATAAAATCTACATTTATAGCATCTTATCACTGAGCTAAGACGTCATACTGTCAAGATACGATGTTCTCAGCCTCCCTCTATGTAACGTCGATGTATATAAAGTCCTTGTTATTAAAACGTGTTTTATTTTCAGATCTATTGAACAAAATGCAAAGGAAGAAGCAGCTAAGGCTGAAGCGGAAAAGAACAAGCCACAACAAACTTATTATCCCACTCAAACACAAAAACCTCAGCAAACATATCCCCCACAACAGACTTACTATCCCCCACAACAAACTTATTATCCTCCACAACAAACTAATTACCCCCCACAACAAACTTATTACCCTCAACAACAAAATCCAAGTTACGGCAAATAAACATAATATAGAATTTACTATAGTATTTAATAATGATAACGATGAAAATTCCGAAAATTTTCGCGAAAGTAAATAGATCTTTAAGAAATTATTTAAATTTCTTATCAGCAATTTATTATTTTTCGCCAGTTATATTTATGAATTTGTAACACATTACCTCGGAATAATCTATGAATAACCAATTGAGACAGTAATTGTACTCACGATTATTATTGTGAATTTGATTACTGACAATGGGGAAGGTTGTGATATTGTTAAGAGTGTTCAAAGTGATAATGTATTATTAAATGTAATTTGTGATATCAACTAGACGTTTTATTTTCCACATACCTCTCATTTAGTTATCTGGTTAGTTTAGTTACCTGAAAAAAAAATAACAATTTGGTTTATTAACACACTTATTATACATATACTAAATGAGTTGCGTGTCTGTATAACTACAGAAATCGTTAATAAACAATAGTTAATTTAAAGTCAGAATATTTAGGAATATGAATATTCAATCATTTAATCGATATAAAACCGCATTTACTTGTCATTGCATGCTGATATAAAATTAATGATTGTTCCATTTGAAAAAGGGAGATTGTTATTTCAATTATATTCTTATGATTTCATATATTGATTTTATATAATTTTCTGATTACAATGTTTTCCTGTGCAATCTAAACTGAACAGTATAATAAATAGGTATATTAAAATAAATTTTCACAACTAAACTATCGACGTGATGAAGATTAATGCAGAGACATTCAAAGATTATTGTCTACTATAAATAGCTTACGTCTCCAATACTTTTCAAACTATATATTATTATATTAAAATGTAACCTAATTAAAGAACATTAATATCTAATAAATATAGAATATTCTATATAAGTTCATATTATTTTATTTAACTCCGCTACCACAGCCATGTGTGGGAACAAATATGCAGTGTGGAAATCTGACACTACTGGAAGCCTTCTCTATTGGTGATCAAATTCCGACCATACTGAGACACATGCTAATGATAAACAAAATAATATAAGTCCATTCAGTAATTTATTGGACTTATGCAAAATAACACCTATTTCGATAAAAAAATAATAAAATAGACCTTAATTAAAATATACTTAAATTTAAACATTACTGAATGAGAACTGATTTCTGGAATACTAGAATATTTATACTACCATAATAATAATAAGATAATTAAATTTATCTTACGTACATATATTGGGTAAATAAATTACTATTCATCAAAATTTATTTAATTTGAATAAGAAACTCGGTATGTATGATCGGTTTTTTCATATACCTACGAACAAACGAAATGAACGACGACCCACATAACCATGTAAGTAAAATAAAAAATGCTCATCAGGGTCTAAGGGCGTAACCCAAAAAATCATTGTAACCGGTTGGTAGGACATTGACTCGACCAGACCATTTCTGTTTTTGCATATTTTGCAAAGCATCTTGAGCTGGTATTTGTTCATTTATCGAGCACTGCCCTTTAAACGTGAACCATTAAAAAAATGGGAAAATAAATTTGTCATTATAATTAATACAAAATTCTCATATTTAGTACAAATACAAATGTGCATTTAGTATAAATATACATATATTAAAAATAATAATAATCTTTAACTACTGCTCACAAGGAAACTTACAATATTAAACAAAGTAACAAAAGTGTTTATTTAATCTTACAAGCTATTCCTTGTCTGAGAGTCTGGAGTCTGAACTAAGTCGAAACCTGTACTACAGATCTCCAAGCTTTCTCCAAGGACTTACTGTTATGTAATAAATCTAATAAATGTTTTTGTGAGGTAAAGTTGTATAATTTGTCGGTAGGTGTAGTATATAATATATGTATAATCAAAGCTAATTGTTCATTAACAATAAAAGATACTAATTAATAAATTAAGTACATGTACAAGTAGTATTCACTCCTTGTATTGCGCACCTCGATAGCTATTACATATTGCTTTATGAATTACACCGAGAAAACGATCATAAAAACGGATACAAGGAGAAGAGAAACCTAGTTAAAAACTGAGCGATATCTTTCACGAATGCCTGGACACGATGATCTTGCGTGCGTATAAATATATGCGGAATTCATTTTCATTCTCAGTTTAATTTCTACTAGTATTACAGTGTGACGTTTAAGTGTTTTATTTATTTGTTTATCAATCAGCTTCACGAAAATGAAGCTGGTAAGTGCTTGTGACGTTATGGTATTTCCTGTGCATAAAATAAAGGATTTTTACATATGAATTAATCTACTTTTCAGGTAACAAAATTATTATTGATATTAAGTATTTTAACGAGAGCGATGACAGATGAAGAATTCGTTTTCCCTCCTAAATTTTCTAATCCCAATTCTCATGCATTTACATCTGATAGTTCTTTATATTTACCCCCGGAAGCTCATACTCCTTTGCCATATTTCCCTATGAAAAACTCTGTGAATCTTCCCTTTCCTTACTTACCTCCTACACGTACGAAAGCGCCTCCTATATACCCTTCACCATTTCCTATGATGATGTCTACAACTTTCATACCACATTACGAAGACGATGGGAAAGAAAATGATGAACGAGAAAATAAAGATTCGAGGTCTACTCCCAAACCATCATACCATCATAATAATGACCGAAATAGATCTGAAAACTATCGAGATGCACAAGCAATAGTAAAAAGAGATATGAGATTAAATTATCAACATCCTATCGATAGAGTAGATGTAAGATTACCTATGGGATTTTCAACACCAAACACAATCAATTTGAATCCAACCGCCAGATCAATGATTATAGATCAAAGAAACGACATTGCATTTGATCAACAGAGAACCGGCTCATCCCAGGCATCTCATTATATACCACCACCAGGAGGAATTTTTATTTCTTCGACAACTGAACCCGCAATTCCAATACTTCGTTTATCAAATGAAATGGATTTGGATGGAAGCTTCAGCTATGAGTAGGTTCATTCTCTAAATAGTTTAAAATAAAGCCAACTATGTCTATATTAATCTATCAAAACTCTTTGTCGTAACTGTATGTTCTTTACAAAAATGTTTATAAAGGATTATCATACAAAATTGTTGTATACTTTTGTAGTTTTTTAGTATTTTTAAAATTAGCATTACACTACTGGCGAAGTTTACTATCAATAAATATATATATTAGAATTTACATGTTTAGTCGCTTCGCGTTCGCAACCATCAACATATGAGACTTTATACTGTCAGGAGGTACCTACTTATTGGGATTTCTCTATTAAATAGATATTTATTATAGCATCCTTAGTTTATAAAGTAAAATTATATTTATACTCCTAAAATTATAAAACATAAACAATTTATTCGTAATTATTTAATTTATTATAAGAAATATAATAAATTGATTTATTTTAGAGCTTTGGGAGCAGATCAGACGCATTACGTACAACAGAGTCATATGGAGAATATGGGTACTGATAAAGAGGAGCAAGTAGTTGAAGGATCTTACTCCTATGTCGGCGATAATGGTCAAACATACACAGTACATTATATAGCTGATTCCAATGGTTTTAGAGCCAGTGGAGATCATTTACCAGTCGCACCACCGATACCAGAGATTATTCAAAGGTATTTATATTTATACTTTTAGCAATAAATGTTTTTTATTAAAATTTAAAAATTTATATTCATATGAAAATAACTTACAGATCAATACAATATAATTTAGCAGAAGAAGCTAAAAAACCTCCACATTTAAAATCGTGGCAACAAGATGGTCAAGAACACGAAGGACTTGACATAAAAGATTCCCATCAACGGTTTTCAATTCCTCCACCACCACGTAATTTATTTACAGGCAGGACACCAGAAGCTTTCTCAAATAACTTTTCGCAAAGGTCAAATTCACAAAGCAATCTAATAACAGCTGCTAGTTCACAACACCCAGTTCAAGCTGTTCCAGATTTTAATATCGATCAAAATAAAGGCAATCAACACAATTCTCCAATTGGTCCACAAGTTACTTTCCTTGCATCACAAGGAGCTCATGTACCTTCTGTAAACGCAGGCCCCACACAAATGTCTAGAACTTTTACGCCGGAAAAAACTAATATGCCTCAACTAATAAACTACGATGCCGCATTTAAAGAAATTGAACAAGACAGTAATAAAGCTTTATGGAGATGGCAGTATGGATTAAATTCACAAAATGTAAATCAGACTCCAGAAAAAAATAGTATTTCTAGATCATTTGGTGAAGATGATGACATAATGATTAATTTTAGTGACATGTCTTCTGAACAATATTCTAAAATGATGCATTCAAATGAGCGTAAAACTTCAAACGAAAATTTAAGCACACCAACTAATTATGTAATTGAAAAAAATACTGATAATAACAGTGATAACAAATATCAAATAAAATACAATTATAATCACGCCTCCAGTCCATCTGGTGTCTCTACAGAAAATGCGGTAACTTTACTATCATCAATAGACGAGTATAAACCAACTTATAATAATGTATATAAACCATATGTTCAAGAAACAAATGTTAATTTAATTAATAATCAAAATCCAGATAACAAATTACAAGTTAGTAACGTCAATCAAAATATAGTAAATCGCCAAAGTTTTATTCCCTCCAGTCAAATTACAACTCAAACCTATTATTATGAAAATAGTTCGTACGAACCTGAAAAAGTTCATTCATTTGTGTCAAGTACCACCACAAAATCTGAGCAAAACTATATAAATAATGTTTCTGATAGTGATAATTATAATAAAGTTTTACAGAATAAAGTCTGGGCAGATACAAACATTTTTGAGAAAGAACTATCTTCAACTACCACGTTACCGGTAGTTGACAAAGGAACTGCTTTGAAATTTTCAGACTTTATAATACAAAGTAACAAAAGTGATTATATGTTACCCTCAAAAGACAACAAAAAATATTCAGAACCAAATATTACAACAACTACAGAAAAAAGTGCCGAAAATATTTTAAGTAGTAATGTATTTCTTAACAAAATTGTTAATACTCACAAACCAGAAAATAAATATAATAATATAATTAACGACCAATATAACAAACAACAACAAGCCAAAACTCCAAAAAATCCTAAATTTATTAATTCTCAAAACAAATTTTATAATGATATTAAAACTATTAAAAAGAAACCGTTAGATATATCCGAAGTATTAAATTTAATAACAAATAAAAATCATTTTGAATCTAGTAAAATAGGTCCTAAGAATGGCGTAGCTATGTATGATAAATTTAATCCAAGAAAAGAAATCCGTTTCATACCAAT